CCGATTGCACTCACACCGCGAGTCGGCGCGTTGGCGTCCAGTGTACCACTGATGCTGTATCCGGACTGCTCCTCCCTTGCAGCGTACCACTGACGGCCGCTGATTCGACATTGTCTGACGCCGGTTAACACACTGCGCTTGGTGTTCAATGGTTAGGGCAATGGCGTAACTTGCATCACAATGATCACTGGCATTTTTGCATTGTTCGAAGTCGTGGCTGTGATGCAGGTGGATGTTTGACAGAGGTCCGGGTGGTGAGAACATTCCACGTCCGGCGCGCCCTAAAGCCGTCGTGCGCAATCCATCGTCAGCACATACCTTAGGCCACTCACCGACAAAGGCCGACGGGTTCCTTTTCAAGCTACGAGTAAGGCTTCTGATAGTGCATGCGGATGAAGACGTGGGCATTCACACTGAGAGGATCTCAAGAAAAAAGACCCCGGGACTTTGGTTTTTACTGGACCTTGGGACTTTGGTTTGTATTGGAATGTAGTTGAAATGTTCACAGTTTACAGGCATCCAGATAATTGAATCACACTCACCGTGTACACCACGCAGTTCTTGTTTTGAACGTTATGCCGAATGAAGAGCTGTTTCCGTCCGTTCTCGATGGTGGAGCCATTTCAGCCGAAGCGTATTCCATGTGCATGTTCGACAGAGATGCTGCTGGTGAGAATAGCCCACGTTGGACGACTGGGCGCCTCCAGCGGCTTGTTTGCACCGCTCGTGTGTGACTAGCGCTGACCAATGTCGTGTGTTCGTACTCGTGGGTCGCCCACGGTTATTATGTGGATTGGAGAACAACGTGCAGCGCAATGGCGGGCTTATGTGTCCTTCACCCATGCGTTGCCGCGAAGTGCACAGTTCTATGAACACGATGACTATGTCCGTATGCTGTATGCTGGCCCATGCACTGGGATAGATCTACAGCACTGGTGCAAGGTTTTCAAAATTATGGGAAATTTTGGATTTCAAGTCAGATCTTTGTATCGAACACTTAAAGATCAAAGTTGGAAAACGTGGGAGTTCGAGCCACCCTAGTATGCTGCAAGTTCCACCCATACCACAGGACATTCCGCAGCCAGCCACTTGTCTGCTCGCAACATTGTCAGCCTCTTCAATGATCGTGGTCTTTGTCGGCGGGCAAACAATGTTTGAATCCCAATATTCGTCATTGTCACAAGGACAAGCAACGACTTATAGGGACTAGAGGGGAAAAATGGACCCATTGACGCTGGGAGTAGCTTTACGCTCACATACAAAGCTGGCACAAAATAGCCGCAGCTGAGGCTGCCCTAAAACCTTCATCACCACAGTCATCATCCCGGGCGCGAGGTCACTCACGCAAACAGCGGGTCCGGCTCCATGCCGTCCTCGCCGGGGCGGGGCCCGGCAGGGCGTCGCCGGCGGCTTCCGTCTCTCCCACTGCCCGCAGCTAACAGGCGTCTGTTGTGTCATCCCACGCAGATTCGGCGGCGGGTCACAGATCGGCTGCCGGTGCGGCGCGCGGGCGGGGCGGGCGCGCCGTCACCGGCCGTCCGTCCCCCTCGCGCGGCGCTGGCGCGCATGGCACCGTCCGCGGCAGCACGCGCGGCCGGGCCGCCCCGTCGCGCGGCTTCCACGTCAGTCCGCAGCGGCGCGGCGGCCCGGCGCTGCGCGGCGGGCGCGGCCAGCCGCTTCTGCGCGGCGGCCCGGCGCTGCGCGGCGGTCGCGGCGGGCCTCCTCTCTTCCGCGGCGGTGGTGGTGGCGGTGGTGGCGTCGGCGGCGGCGGTGGCGGCAGCTGGGGCGGCCAGCGCGCACCGGGGCCCGGCGCGTGGCCGGCTGCCGACGCCGGCCGGCACCCGGGCGGCCCGGGCGACGGCCCCTGGATGGCCAGCGGCCCCCGGCTGCGCGCTCCCGGACCGGGCCGCGCGCAGCCGGGCCAGTGGGGCCGGCCGCACGCGGGCCCTCTGCTGCCGGTGCCGCGCGGCCCGCAGCCCGGCCAGTGGACCGGACCGGTCGAAGGCTCCTGGGAGCGGCTGCAGCAGGCGCGCTGCCCGCCCAGGCCGGCTGACGAGCCGTTCATGGGTCCGGCGCCGCCCCGCTGGCCGGAGCAACGCGCCAACGGCGGTCCAGTCCAGTCTGGGCCCGGACACTGGGACGGGAATGGGCCCGTTCGCGGCGGTGGCGGCGGTGGTCCTTCCTGGTCCGGTCCCGGTCCGAAGAGATCGCAAGACAATGGTTACGTGGACGGCGGCCCGTCCTGGTCGTGTCCCAACTCGGTCATGAACCAGGAGAACCGCCGCATGGACGGCGGTCCCTCCTGGTCCGGTCCGGGTCCAAACAGACAGCGGGAGAACCGCAGCATGAGTGGTGGTCCATTCTGGTCGCCTCCTGGTCCAGGGAGACAGCAGGATAGCCGCAGTATGGACGGCGGTCCCTCCTGGTCCGGTCCAATTCCAAACAGAGAGCAGGAAAATCGCAGCGTGGGTGGTGGTCCATTCTGGTTGCCTCCTGGTCCAGGGAGAGAGGAGGAAAACCGGGACATGGCGGGCCGTCCCGCGTGGTCGGAGCCGGGCTCGGGCCGACAGCAGAACGGTGACGGCGGACACGGTGGGCCCGGTCCGGGCCGCCAGCCGGTGGGCCGCGGCCCGGCCGGCCGGCCCGACGCCTGGCTGGGCCCCGGCCTGCTGCGTCAGTCGGAGGGGCGCGGCGAGCCGGCCGGCCCGGTGCGCCGCGCGCCGCAGGAGCGTCTGGGCGTGCCGGCCGGCCGTCGGGTCGATCCGCCGCCCCAGCAGCAACAGGCAGCGTGGCGGGGTGATCGTGAGCCGCCGGCCGGCCGCGAACCGGCGCCACCCCGCCAGCCACAGCCGCCTGTTGGCCGCCCGCAAACCATCTACGTGAACCGCAACTTCTCAGCGCCCGCCGCATCAGGTGAGCGGCCCTCGCGCCGACACGGGGGATAGGGTATATGTGAGGGAGACGTGCAGCGTGGTCCAGGTCACAGGTGTTAACTGACGACAGCTATGGGCCTTTGGATGCGTGGATTACAGTGAAAATGCTTTGGTGATAGGGCATAAGTTTGCTCTGTATGTTTTACATGTGACATTGCCGCTAGCTTTTGCCAAACGCAATTATGTTTGCATTCGTGATCGTGCCTCCGCCGGCGTGGTCCAGTGGTGTAGCGCCGCTGTCGTGCTGTTAGTGTGACTCGACCTGAGCAGCGCCGCCGTGTCCGTGTGTCCGCAGCCCAGCCGCCGGCCGAGCCTGTGCGGCCGCCCGTGTGGGCCTCGGCCCCCTTCGAGGAGCCGGCGCAGCAGCCCACCACCATCTACCGGACCGTGCTGAACCCACCGACCAGCGCCGCGTACCAGCGGCCCCCGGGCCTGGCGCCGGGCCTGGCCCCGGGCGCCGCTCAGCTCGGTCTGGGGCACGACGTGGCTCGCGGCGGGGCCGCCCAGAGCGTAACGCGCACTGGCTTCGGCCAGGGCGTTACACACGCTGCCCTGGCTCACGGCATCCCGGCCGGCGGTCTGGCTCCGAGCATGGCGTCGGCGGCGCTACCCGTCTCGTCGCAGGCGCCGGCCCCCGTCGTAGTGCCGATCTTGGTGAGCACGGCCGTGCCGCCGCCGGGCTTCTGGGCGGCGCCGGCGCCGGATGCGGCCGCCACCGCCACCGCCACCGCCACCGCCACCGCCTCAGCCGACAAGGTCTCCAAGTTTTGCCAGGAGTTTATCCAGAGCAACCAGCGCAGCCTGTACTCAGGCCGGCGCGACTCGACCGTGGCCGGCCGCGAGCGCTCACCGCTGCGCTCGCACAGGGAGCGCGAGCGGGACTACCACGGCCGCGCGCCGCGGGAGGTGAGCCGCCGCCGGCCGAGTGTTCACACCGGCTCACGCCCGTCTGAGCTGCTCTCCGGCGGTGATCCACTGCATTACGAGCTGCGTGCCGCCACTGCATAACACAATGTCTTTAAATTTCTTCCCAGGCCTATATATTCGCCTACTTTAGCAGCTGGTGGTGCGTGATAACACATTTCCATACTGTTTTTTTTTTCGTTGCGGACTGCCTTGCGAGCGGGTCGATATGACCGCGTACTCTAGGCCCCCGAAAGCCCTAGCAGTCAGCTGATCTTCGCTGCTGACCCGTCGTCTGACCCGTTGTCTGTCCCGCTCCCGGCTGGCCGCCCTGCGCCGCTCACGTGCTCGTCTGACGCACGCCTCCGCTGCCGCCGCCAGAGCCGGGAGCGCTCGCCGTCGGGCGGGCGTCACCACGCGGCGTCGCCGCCACCGGCCTCCGAGCCGCCCCCGTACCGCCCCGACGAGACCGAGGAGATGCGCCAGTACCGGCGCGAGTACGAGACGCGCGAGGCTGAGTGGCGCGCCAAAAAGGAGAAGGCGCAGCGCGTCAAGGAGCTGCGCCGCCAGTTGCGCCTGGCCGAGGCTGAGGCCGGCCTGGGTGAGTGGCCGACGCCGCCTGAGGACGCTGCCGTCGACGGCGGACGAGACGAGCTACGCCGCAGGGGGCCTGGGGACACGCAGCCCTGTGGGTGATGACGTGTATGTGTGGGGAGGGCGGAGGGCTGTCGTGAGGAGCGTTTGGCCCGGCAGCGGAGCAGGATGGGGTAAAAGGGGGAATTTGGTTAGAGTGAGGCGTGTAACCGCAGTAAGATGCGACATTAGGGCGGGTGGGATGGAGTGTGTGACTGTTTCGTGTGATGGGGTGTGTCAATGCAGCAGGGAAGGGTGAATGTGCGTTACTGCGCTGGATGGCCGTGCGTATATGCGTGTGTGACCGTCGGGTGGCGGCCCCACTAAGCCGTGAGGCGCCACCAGACGCCGGCGCCACTCGCCGCTGACCGGGGCGCGGTGTCGCCGCTCGCAGCGCCGTCGGAGCCGCCGCGCACCAAGGAGGTGGTGTTCGAGCCGCCGCCGGGCCGCGGCCAGGCCGTGCGCCTTGCGGGACCCCAGCGGCCGCCGTCGCCGCCCTCACCGCCGCCGCCGCCGCCGCCGCCGCCGCCGCCTACCCGCCCCGCAGTGCCGGCCGCGCCCGCCCGCAAGCGGCTCTTCCGCATCCAGAAGGACGCTACCGGACAGCCCGTGCGGAAGTTTGAGGTGATGATTAGCGCGAGCCGTGAGACGCTGATAAGGGCGGCAGTGGGATGGCTCAGAACCGCGGCAGGGACCTCGCGCACACGCATTGTTCATGTCGCTTTGTGAGATTTGGTATGGAATTGGTAGTCCTATGCTCTTCCGCGGTAAGACAACATTTAAGCGAGTATTGTTTGCAGGCGTCTGTGCCGTGCCACTGACCATTGTGCCTGTCGTAAGTGTGACCTGACCTGTCGACAGCTGGATCCAGTGACGCGCGAGGTGCTGGGGGAGGTGCCTCTGGTCGGCGCCCCGCTCACCTCTCCCGGGCAGGTGCGTCCCGTCACACAGCTGCCCCACACGTTTGGCGGCCATCACTCACCAGGCTCACATTCAGAGCCGCCACCCTGCGTGATCTGACGTTCAGAGCCGCCGCCCTGTGTTATCTGGCGTTCGGAGTCGCCACCCCGTGTTGTCTGGCGTTCAGAGTGGCCACTGTATGATCTGGCGTTCAGAGCCGCCACCCTGTGTTGTCTGGCGTTCAGGGTTGCCATTCTGTATGATCTGGCGTTCAGAGTCGCCACCCTGCGTTATGTGGCGTTCAGAGTCGCCACCCTGTGTTATTTGCCGTTCAGGGCTACCAACTTATGTTGACTGGCGTTTAGAGCCGCTTTACCGGGTGTCCAGAGCACCGTGTTATCTGGCGTTCAGAGCCACTACCCCGTAGTATCTGGCGTTCGGAACCGCCACCTTGTGTTGTCTGGCGCTCAAAGCCCAAACCGCCACCCTGTGTTGTCTGGCGCTCAAAGCCCAAACCGCCACCTTGTGTTGTCTGGCGCTCGAAGCTCAAACCGCCACCCTGTGTTGTCTGGCGCTCAAAACCCAAACCGCCACCCTTTATTGTCTGGCGCTCAAAGCCCAAACCGCCGCCTTGTGTTGTCTGGCGCTCGAAGCCCAAACCGCCACCATGTGTTGCCTGGCGCTCAAAGCCCAAACCGTCACCCTGTGTTGTCTGGGGTTCAAATCCGTGTTATCTGGTGTTGAGTGGCCACTGCTGCACACCGAGCGCATGAGGATGCGGAATTATGACGTTTCATGACATGTGGAGTTAATTGTCCATCCGCTGATCTGTGATGATTCTTCAATTGCGGAGCTGTCTTCCGGTGTCCTAGTCTACCCAGACGCAGTCGCCAGCACTCTGTGCTCGGGTGTGGGTGGATATAGGGCCTGACCCTGTGTCCGTCTGTGACGGGCTTGCCCCTGATGCGACACGCCCTTCTCAGCCGATGGCCCGGCGTGTGGTGCTGCCAACTCAGCCGCGCTAGGCTGACCTCCGAGCGCCGCCATACGGGCCGCACCAGCCGGCGGGCGTCGGACGCCAGTGAGCGGCGCTCACCTGAAACGCTGGAGAGTGGCCGGTGCCGCCACACGGGCCCGTCCGTGACCCGGAGGTGCCAGGCCGGCCGCGGCACGCCCCGCCATGCTGACGACGGCGGGACTGGGGCAGCCTTGTACAATGCGCAGTGGGGAGGCTTGCAGGATTCGCTGTTCGGAGCGCGGTGCTGGTCGTCCGCGACCGGAAGCAGATGTAGCCAAGCGTCGCCAATCGGACGAACTTGTAAGTGGTGGCCCTCGAATGTGCGTATCGGAAGTGTTTTGTGCTTCAGTGAGCTCCACGCCGGCAGTTTGTCTTTGTCCTTTGGCGCGATGTGATCTCGAGCACGTGTCTGGACCAGGCGTGGACGAGATCCACTGAATGTGAATAGGACAAAATATAAGTTAACAAAAAGTTGTATTTCTGCATGTTTGTGCCTGTGTTTCCAAGATGGACATAGGGTCATTCTACGTCGAAATGACTATGCCCATGTGAAAGTGTAAGCATCCACTCAGCGATGAGATAGAAGAACGTGGTAGTGAGGTGGACTCAGACGAGTTTTGCCTCGTTCCGACATGCTTGATCGGAACAACTGCAGCGTCCCTGGCGCTATATTCTGTTTTGTCGTGTTTTATCATACTTCAGATTTGCACTGTTCACCACGGGTTTCCTTTTCTAATAGCTGTCCAAGCGTTGAGCGGTAATTATACAACATGCGTGATGATGCCAATGGTAAATTAATGCCATGCTTGGTCATAGCAACATCGGGTCAAATATACAGCTGGTGTTCGCGATAGCAAATCACTAGTCGCACCGACTGATGCGCACAAGTCGGAGGCGACGGTCGAATGTTACTGGCGTTCGTTCATGTGGAGGCCCTATGTGCCTGCTCGGCATCAGGGAGATTTGGGGCCCTGGTGTTCAAGGAGTCCGACAATACACATTTCCAGAAGCCTTGGAGTCAACAGTGACCCCCAGGGACGCAACCAGAGGGGGTGCCCCCCCCCCCCGTGAGGCACCACCTTTCCGTGGTGGGGGGATTGCGTGCCCCAATCATCCTGCGGGCGGTTGGGGAGGCTTGTAAAGCGCCCCTTCCGGCCCAAGAGGAGGAGCCAGACGAAACGTGCCTCCGTCCAGGGCTGCGACTCATTCAGAGTAGGGATTAGCAACCCCTCGGCCCCAGCTTCTCAGTCTTATCTGGGTCTCGCTGTACCCCGTTGGATCCGCAGGTAGCGATGAAGGGATCCTGGTCACTGAGGGAGTTGCCCTGCGGGTCAGTCGGGGCAGCTTACCAACACGTGGCTTTGGTCCGAATTTGTGATCCCGCGGATGCCTCGTGAAGTCTCCACGCGAGGAAATCGGCTGGTCAGGCGTCGTGTTTTCGTGACGCTGGCTTGGAGGCAAGCAGGTCATGTGACGGGTGTTGAGGGGGGAGCTGCCGGGTGCAGTGTCTGCCTCCTGACATCATTAAGGGGACATACCTCGGTTTGTTACCAGGGTGCCTGGTTAGCACCTGCGAACCGAGGCACTGGCGCCCGCAGACTCGTGCCCGGTGGCTCTCGCAGCAACTCTTTTGGCACACTGGTCTGCGTATGGCGTGCTGGTAGCCCTGGCGGCTCCTCTCTTAGAAGTGGACCGTCCCCGTGTTGGGCTCCGTGGTGGGCGGGGAATCAGCGCGCCGAATATAAACACATACCTATGGACACTATCATCAACCAAACCCCGGCCGTCGTCCTGTGCCACTGCCCCAGCTTCTGGTCGTAATATCCACCAAAGTGGATGACCAAGGAAGAACAGTACCGCTACGACTGAACCCTTTTCAGCGCCAACAAGCATTTTCAAAGATCGGGACGCCCAAAGACGCATTTTCGTGTGCGGACGGAGGCATATAAGTGCATCTAACAGACGAACGCGAGATCCAGCGCATGCTTAAAACGACCACACTTATCTAAAAGTACGAGGACAGGGAAAGGTCAGGGTGCCCGTATCGGTGCACCCTCACCCTTCTGAGAACTATTCCAAGGGTGTGATTGCTTGCCGGGACCTTCGCGGTGTGAGTGATGAGGATGTTGCTGAGGGCTTGTGTGAGGAGGGGTAACGGCGGTGAGACGTATCAAGAGGAGAACTGACCGATACTGATTCAATTATTCTGACGCTTTGTTCTGCAAGAGTGCCAGACAGGGTCCGCGTGGGACGTCAGTCGGTCCCTGTTAGGGTCTATGTACCCGATCCAGTCCGATGCTACCGATGCCAGACGTATGGTCACTTCACGGACAAGTGCTGGAAAGAAGTTAGATGCGGAAGGTGTGCGGAAATAGGTCATCAGCACCCTGAGTGTAAATCAGAAGCCGTGAAATGCGTCGACTGTGGTCAGGGTCACGTGGCGTCATATCGCAGCTGTCAGTCCTTCTTGTCAGCGAAAGCTGTCCTGAACATCAAAATGAAGGAAGAAGTCTCGTTTCGGGGGGCCCAACGCCGACACAACGATGCGAGCACCACGAGGACATACAAAGACGCCATTACCAATCCGGCAAGAAATTTAGCCCAAGTAACACCCGCAGCCAACGAGATACAGAAACTGAGTGGACTTGATGATTTCAAAGGCATGACTGTAGGCAAGTTTGTACAGCTGATACTAAGCACACTTGTATCAACTGGCTCTGCTGTTCCGTCGTACCGGAAGTCGGATCCTCCGGAAAAAAATCCACCTGCGGTATTGGCCGCCGCTAGAAAAGCTCAGCCTATGGGGTTGGAACCCCCTGGTGGAGCTGCCAGAGAGCCCGGGGCTGGGTTGCGACCCGGGAACGGGGGATGGACCACGGTCTAGCAAGGTCGTGGACTTCGCCCCCCATCATCGCACCCCGGCCCAGCCCGTGCTGAAGACACGCTCTCCCGGGCTCCATCTCCCCCTCCATCCATACCAGCTACGACGGGATCTGTCGTCGCTGGTACAGGGGCGCTACGAGAGCTGACCCCCTCTGGCTCCCCAGCTAGTGGCCCTGCCGGGAGCGCCGGTCCCCCCGGCTCACGGGAGCCGGACAAGGTTCGGCATCCCCCAGTCGTCGCTCCCTCCCGGAGCCGCCCTTCTGAAACTGTTGTTCGTCCGGGTTCTCTGGACCTTGGACCTGCAGGGCGCGCCGCTAGGTCGGCGTCTGCACAGCGGACGGGGGGCCGGCTCCCGCTGTCGACTCCGCCCCACTCACCGGGAGGGTCAATGGGTCCGCCTCCCATTCCTCCACCTGGAGACGGGGTTTCGGGTCGGCCTACCCTGCAATCCTCGGTGGCGGGTCGCGCAACAAAGCGTGCCCCTCCTTGGCCGACGTCGCCTACGGAGGGTGGAAGTCCCAAAGCTCGGCCAAGGGTCCGGCTTACCTCCACTGAAGTAGAACGTCGCCAGGGAGATTTGTTTAGTGCAAAATCCTAGGTGAACGCTTAAAGCAGATGTAAGCTGTACCGATGGATCTTAACCGTACACCCCACATACAAGCATACCTGGCATGCCACTGACGTTTTTACAGTGGAACATGCGTGGCTTGAGGGCCAACATGTCGGACCTACACGCACTCTTATCTTATCGTAACCCGGTTGTGGCATGCTTACAAGAAACAAAGGTATCTGATGACACTCACATTAACATCAAATGTTACAGTATCTTTCGGAAAGACGTGAGAACTGGCACGATCGCCCATCGCGGTTTTAGTTCATCACAGTATACCGTGCTCTCCTGTAAGTCTCAACACTGACCTTCAAGCTGTTGCTGTCGTCGTCGACCTTGGGTCGCTGAGGCTGACTGTCTGTTCTATCTACCTCCCTCCTGCTGAGGAAGTACCGGATTCGACACTACAGTCCATCTTCGATCAGCTTCCATCGTCGTTCTTGTTGCTGGGTGACTTCAACTCCCATAGCCCTTCGTGGGGCTGCAGTCACTCAAGCCGCCGAGGCCGACATCTTGAGCGTTTGCTGAATACAAATAATCTTTGTGTTGTTAACACCGGCCGGCATACCCATATATCTCTGCCGTCCAGCACTACTTCAGCGATAGATCTTTCTATCTGCTCCTCGTCCTTTTTCTGTTGGTTGTCTTAGTTCGTTGAGAGCACATGTGGGAGCGACCATTTCCCAATATGGCTTGGGATGAATGCTGGACACCCAGGCAGGAGGCCTTCCTGCTGAAACCTTCGACGTGCTAACTGGCAAAGGTTTACTGAAGAGTGCCATATTAGAGTGCAGCCGACCGAGGACGACAATGCAACGTCTCTTACACAACAAGTGACATCCACAATTGTTGACGCTGCAAGGTCTTGCATTCCCTTGACATCACCTGAGCCGCGCAGGATCCCTGTTCCCTGGTAGTCAGAGGACTGCAAGACGTCAATTCTTAAGCGGAAGCGGGCGTTCAGGGTTTTTAAGCGTTCTGCAACGACCAATAACCTCATCGCTTTTAAAAAAGCCAGAGCATTTGCGAAACGCACAATACGCGAGGCAAAGCGTACATCATGGAGGGAATGTGTAAATGGTTTGAATCGTCACACCCCACTGAGTGCAGTGTGGCAGCGAGTTAGTCGCATTTCCGGTAGGAGCGTTTCCACTGCAGTTCCGGTGTTGAAAGTGGCGGAAATCACGATATTGAACACACAGGAAGTTTCCAACAAAATAGGTCACGCATTTGCAGAAAGGTGCCGACATGGAACAGACGACCCACGCTTTATTGGTTACAAGGAATAAAGTGAGAAGACGGCAATCAATTTTAGAATTCCTGACTCAGAGAATTATGAGTACAACCAACCATTTACTGTCATGGAGCTTTGCACTGCTCTTAAGAGAGCAAAGAGTGTGCCGCGTGGATTGGATAAAGTCCACAATGATATCTAGAATCACCTAAAGAAGGAGTCCCTCCATGCCTTACTTGAAGTTTTCAACTACATATGGTTGCAAGATGACTTCCCGGAGTCGTGGCGGGAGGCCATTATAGTCCCGATACAGAAGCCCGGAAAGGATGGTTCCGACCCACTGCACTACCGCCCAATTTCGCTGACTTCATCCCTATGCAAAGTGCTAGAGAGGATGGTGAATGATCGTCTCATGTGGTACCTTGAAACTTATGGCTGTCTTTCCAAAGTGCAATACGGGTTTCTGGAGAACCGATGCACTGTTGACCACTTAACGATCTTAGACACAGCTATACGACATTCTTCTAAACAAAGACGTCACACGATAGCAGTCTTCTTTGACGTTGAGCGGGCTTATGATACCACCTGGCGCTATGGCATTCTAAGCAAAGTACACAAGTATGGACTCTGAGGTCACATGGCACTCTTCATTGAAAACTTTTTACGCCGTCGATTCTTCCGCGTCCGAGTGGGTGGCATGCTATCTGATCGCTATGAACAAGAGAACGATGTTCCTCAAGGGAGCGTCCTTAGCGTAACCCTGTTTGCGCTGATGATCGATGATATCGCCGACTGTTTGCCACCTACCATCAGTCGGTCACTGCTTGTGGACGAATTTGCCCTCTGGTGTGCAGCATCCACAACGGCGTCTGCTGAGAGGTAGCTTCAGTTATGCCTGATTCGACTAACTGAGTGGAGCCTGAAGAACGGCTTCAAATTTTCGACCACCAAGACCAAGTGTATGTACTTCTGCTCACGGATTAGAGGCTGTAGAGACCCGGAGTTGCGACTCTATAATGCCGCTATCCCAGTTTGTAACGACATTTGTTTCCTGGGCCTCACGTTTGACCGTCGGCTCACGTTTAAGCAACACTTTAAGATGGTTGAGACTAAGTGTCTCAAGCACATGAACCTCATGAAAGTAATGTGTCGTATGACCTTTGGAGCCGATAGAAGCACCCTGTTGAACTTGTATCGGGCCTTAAATCGATCAGTCATCGGTTATGCTAGCCCTGTCTACGATAGTGCTCCTACATCTTCAAAGCAGGTTTTGGACACAATCC